ATGCAGCCTGGGGCACCCAAGGGCCTGGCGATCTGCTTTCCCCTGACCCCAGGCAAACAGTGTAGGTTCCTTAATGCACTTGCAGGTGTCTTGGGGTGCAGGTGGGCTGGAAGAGTCTGACACAGGAGTAGGACCAGTGGAGGGATCACCTGCATCCTGAGCTGCCACTCCCGCTGCGCTCGGTCAGGTGTGCCTGGACAGGCTCCTGGTACTGCCAGGCCAGGCCTGACTCCCTGCCGCCTTCTGCCTGGCCTGGCTCCATGAAGACTGACACGTGCCGAGAGTTGGGGGCACAGCTCCTCACTCTGCCTCTGCAACTGGGAGGTGTGGAGGCATTTCCGGGACTGCTTCGCTATCTCGGTAAGGGCACGGGCAGAGGGGAGTGGGGGCTCTGAGAAAACTCTGGGAAAGATCATGTCGCCCAAATCCAATCTCATTGCCGTGGGGCACTGACCTGCCAGGGACGGGTTCTCCAATAAGTAAGGTAAGCACCTGCGCAGGTCATCCACAAAAGAGGGCCCCATTGACCAAAGCAAGGACTGGGCATTGTATAACCCAGTCATCTCATTCCATGCCTGTTCACACAAATAAATGAATAATATAAAAGGAGAGAAAAGAAAACACTGCTATCCAGTGGGCTTCAAATCATAGCGACGATATGACTCCTCCCTTGGAGAAGGATGAGTGGGTCGGAACTACCTTGAGGTTGGACGCCCAGCACTACCTACCAGCTCCACCAGGGGGGATATCACGCTAAACCCACTGCCATCTGGTCCATTCCATTCATGGTGACCCTTTGTGGTTTCTGGGGCTGTAAATCATGACAGGAGCAGACAGTCTCATCTTTCTCCACCAAAGCTGCTGGTGGGATTGAACCACCGACTTTACCCAACATTGAGCCAACACTTAATCTGACAGCACCACCCCAAAACCCAACTCACTGCCATGGAGTCAAGGCTAACTCACAGAGACCTCCTATGGGTTTCTGAGACTAACTGTTGATGAGAGTAGAAAGCCCAGTCTTTCTCCCACCGAGCTGCTGGTGGTTTTGAACTGCCAACCATGCAGATCGTAGCCCAACACAACACGTAACCAGTGTACTGCCAGGGCTCCCAGACTGCTGACGGGGACTTTATTTCATAGATTTGATTCTTAATGTTATGGTCATGGTTAAATGAAGTGGATTTTTTTTAACTACTTAGTTGATTTACCTTTTTTAATATAAAGAAAGAAAACATCCTTTTCTCTTATTTTGGAAACTAGCTTGTGTGTCACAAAAGACTTTAAGTCAGTTTCCATTTTACTTTTTCCCACTCAGACATGGTCTAGATCTGATGGGTCAGAAAGCTGGAGTTCTTCGGGCTGTGAACCTTCAGAGAAAGCATTCTTGAACTAAACCAATCTCACTGCTATGGAGTCGATGCCAACTCCTTATGGGAGTAGAGTGTTTCTCCGGCAGAGATGCTTGTGCTTTGAAACTGCAGACCATGAGGATCGCAGCCCAAGGATAACCATTGCCATCTAGTTGATCCCCACTCATAGCGCCCCTATAGGACTGGGTAGACCTGCCCCTGTGGATTCCCTATACTGTAACTCTGTATGAGCGTAGAAAGCTCCATCTTTCTTCCTTGGAGCGGCTTGTGTTTGGAAATGCTGGCCTTGCAGAGTGCAGCAGCAGCCTAACGGTCTTATTGAAAAAGAAATTACATACTAGACACTCATCTATAATCCACATGGCCCGTTGGAAGGCGTATATTCTTGTATGCCGATAACTCAAGAAAGCCCCAACACACCGACAACAAGTCCATTCCGACTCATAGCGACCTGATAGGAC